TATTTGGAATGACTTGATTCATTGCTTTCCATATTGTTAGTATTCCTTAAGGGATATTTATCTCTTTTGCTTTTATATAAAGGACATTTTCTTGTTATGCTGTGAGTTGGGTGAATGCCTTGAGGTCCACATTTTCACTCAATTTAAATTTCCTATTATGTCTAGTCTCTAAGAGGACACTGAGAGGAGAGAGATTAATTTCAAGTAGTTACAACCACTTCAGAACAATTTCATACTCATAAATCTTTTAAAAACGTATTACAAATGTTCTCCAGAAATCCACTAGTCTGAGTGGTAAATGGGGGTGATTTTATTTAATTGGTTGATAAATTAGTTAATAAGAAAATAAAAATGTTTTGAAACTGTATTTGGCTTTGAACCTTTGTGTGTGGGGGGTCTTATCCTGCATGCTAAATTCTCATGCCCCTAGGATTTAGTAGATGAAGTTCTCAGGTAGGCATGTGGATTTCCAACATCACTGAAGAGTTCTACCCATAGGTCATGGTAGCAGACCACTACGTATAGACGGTGAATGGAAAGATTTCTGTAGCCCCCCTCCACTGATCACCAAATATGAACTTTAAATTCTCCATCCCTAAATGTATGCTGCCCACCTGTTTAATTTTCCTGTCCTTTTCAACTGATCATTCACACCACAGGGCCCAAAGGGAGAGTAGGTTATACTCTCCTCTGTTTCTGTCCTGAATTCCCTGGTTCTGCTATTCACTATGATCATGTTGGGATCCTGATTTTTCAGGTGAACTTGAGATAACACAGTAAGCACTGGCTGAGATAAAAGTGGAAGTTTTTGTAAAGAACTCTCAAGTTCCTACAGGAACAAGATTCAGCTTAAACTCCTCCAGTTAGATCTCCATTTCTGTTCTTCATTTACATGTTGAGAAACATGGAGCACATTTAAACACCAGTTCACTCAGGGGTGTTTGTGTCTGCCAAGTCTAGACTGCCTTTTAAAGGTTTTTATGTGTCCAATTGTTCACTGTGTTTAACTTTCCCTTTGTGTGGTCCCTCCCTTTGTGGTGGTGCAGGCTCTGGTATGTTTCCTTATATCCTTCGTTCACAACACCAGAATTTCTGGGCTTCTCTGAATCTCTGACAAATACTGATTTTTAATGATTTCCTTCATACACCCATCTTGTAATTAAGAAGTATTACTGTTTCCTCAATTCCAAACATCAGAGCAAGTGGGAAGTGTCTCCTTCCTCTTCTCACCATTTGGGAGCCTCTGAACAACACACTGTTGAACAAGGACTGGATATGAGAAAAAATCAAGAGAAATGTTAAAAATTCTTAGAAACAAATAAGAATAATGATACAACATACCCAGAAATCTGGGACCCTTAGAATGCAGATCTAAGAAAAAATATAATGTAGTAAGTGCCTACTTTTAAGATAGAAATATCCTAAATAAAAAATCTGATATTACATCTCAAGGCCACAGGCAATGAGGATCAAACTACTTCTATGTCCATTAGATGATAGTACATAATCAAAATACAAACCAATGAAATAAAAAAATACCCCCCCCCAAACTCACAGAATTAATATAACAAAGAGTTAATTCTTGGAAAAAATAAAGAGGACTGTTAAACACTTAGCCAAACTAATTATAAGAAAAAAAATAAGGAATCATCTAAAGAAAATTAGTGCTACATGGACAATATAGCCACAGACATTTCTGAAATACAAAGGACCATTAAGGACTATTAAAAACTTATTTTCCTATAAATTGGAAAATCCAGATGGTATTGAAAAATTTGTAAAAACATGTGACTTACCCAAAAGACAGCCAAAGTGTATAGAAAAGCTAAGTGGATAAAAAAGCAGTAATATTGAATTAACAATAAATACCTTTGTGACAAAGAAAATTCTGGTACTAGTTGGATTTTTGGTTGCATTCTATAAGACCTTTAAAGAAGAAAACTTCTCAAGACTCTCTAACTTGTTTCATGAGATAAAAAGGGGATAATATTTATTACAAATTTATTCTATTAAAGCAGAAACACCCTGATACCCAAACCAGATAATGACAAATAAAGGAACAAAAACTGCAGGCCAACATCCTTGCTGTATCTCATGGCAGATAAAAAAGGACTGAAAGGCAAAATTAATCAGAAGAGACAAAGAAGACTAGTTCATACTGCTTCAGGAATCTACAGATTCAATGCTATCCCCATCAAAATGCCAATGAAATTCTTCACAGAACTGGGAAAACAGTCCTAAAATTCATTTGGAAGAATAAAGATGTAGAATAGCCAAAAATCTTGAGCAATAAGCACAATGCTGTAGGCATCAAAATGTCCTTCAAATTATATTACAGAGATATAGTAACAAGACCAGTATGGAACTAGCATATAAGTAGACATGAGGACCAATTAAGCAGAACAGAAGACACAGAGAAAAATCTGCAAAGATACACTCATGATCCTTGTCAATGGTGCTGAAAACATATAGTGGAGAAGATATTATTTTGAAGAAATGGTGCTGGGAAAGCTGAATATTCATATGTAGAAGAATGAAATTATATCCGTACCTCTCATCTGACATAATAGTCAAGTCAAAGTGGCTCAAGGACATAGAATTTAGAACAGAAATTCAGAAACTGCTAGAAGAAAACATTAGTTCAACATTCCAACATATTAGTGCAGGTATTGATCCTACAGCATAAAAAATAAAACAAAGAATCAATAAGTGGGATGGTATGAAATTTTAAAAACAAATTGCAGAGCACAGGAAACAAGAACATGAATAGAGATTCTGCTGAATAAGAGAAAATATTTGCCAACTGCTCTTCCTACAGGGAATTAATATTCATAATACATAAAGAACCCACAAAACCTTAAAATCAGAAAAACACACGATAAATAAATGAGCAAAACAAATAAGACCTATTTCTCAAAAGAAGAAATACAAATACATAAAAAAAGTTCAATATCCTTAGCAATCATGGAAATGCAAATCAATGCTACACTGGGATTTCATCTCACCCCAGTTAGAATGGCATTCATCAGTATACAAATAACAATAAATGATGATGAGAATGAGGGGGAGAGGTATACTTATACAATGTTGGTGTAACTGTAAATTCCTACAACCACTGTGGACATCAGTATGAATATCACTCAGAAGACTAGAAAAAGAATCACCATGTGACTCAGATATTCCACTCCTCTCTATCTATCCACAAGAACTAAAATCAGCATTCTATAGGGATACATGCGTACCCATCTTTATGGCAACACAATTCACAATACCCAAGTTATGGAACCTTCCTTGATGTCCATCAACAGATAAGAGGATAAAGAAAATGTGATACATACACGAAATGGAGTTTTACTTGAACAACAACAACAAAAAATGAAATTATGTCATTTTCTGGGAAATGGATGGATCTGGAGCACATCAAGCTAAGTGAAATAAACCATTCTTAGATCAGTGGTCAAATGTTCTTTCTCATATGCAGAAATGGGAGAGAAAAAAGGAAATAAAAAAGGGATCTCACAAAAATTTAAACGAGACCCATAGAGTAGTGAAAGGAAATGTAAAAGTAAACAAGGAGACGTATGTAGTTGGAAATAAAATCAACCAAATTATGATATTGCCATGATAAAAGGTACCACAATGATTCCATTTTATATATATAATTAAAATCACTAATTAAAATATAATAGAAGAGGGACCAGTGGAGGAGAGGAAGGGGATCATGGTGAGGGAGTAGAGAATAGAGTAGGGGAGATACTGGGGAATAAGGTAGATCAAATTATGCTGTGTGCATCTATGAATACCAGTATCATATATAGATATAATAGATTAATAAAAACTTTTAAAACTAAGTTTTGATTTGATTCTGTTATTTCTTATTTTAGGGACCTGATAAAATTAATATTATTTTTAGTACAATTTGTGGTAACAACCACTGTTATGCTCTCTCTCTCTGTACTTTTTAAAAAATTAAAATACATAGTGACTATGAAGATGCTTAATGAAAACTAAATGTATTTAATAAACATGAAATGACAAAACAATAAAACATTTTCCATCACATCAGGAAGCACTTGAAGATTAGATAGCCACAACTATGTCATGTATTTTTGTGTATAGCTTTCAAAGAAAAATGCCCAACAGAGAATATTTGGGGGGATTTGCAACTTTGGAGGTGATAAAGGATGAGAGAAAGAACATATTTCCATCTATAGCTATTTAATGAAGGAGCAGCACTGTTTATCATGTTGAAAATGAAGGCAGCCTGGACTCCTTATAGCATTTTTTTCCACAGATCATCTTCCTTTCCTTTCTTTAGAAAGCCTAAGACAGGCTTTTATGCTCCTCCTCCCAAGATGCTGACTCAGTGGAAGAGGCCTATTTGGTGAGAAGTGATTCTAAGAGATGATTACAGATTAAGAGAATGAGATAAATTCAGATAGACAAGAGTGTACCCTGTGGTGCACTCATTCATGATGTCATTCATCCTCATAACAGATCTGAAAACTGGTGACGTTGCTGTTCCCATTACATAGATGAGAGTGTCCAGGCAGACTGAGCTGTTTGTGTATCAGATTCCACCACAGTGGTAGGAGCAGGAGTGCTTCCAGTCTGCATGGGACCTTCAGTAAGCAAAAATATTTTGGGGGTTCTTATTTTAGGAAAAGAACCCTTTATAAATCAGCATTTCTTTTGCCCTTACAAAGAACTTGAATAAGGTCTGAACAGCCAAGTGTCCCTCATGCTCCAGTGCTATGGATGCCATAGTCATGGTGTGTCCAACCAAGAAGGCTGCTAATAGGAGGGACTCTGCCATCCCAGCTGTGCAGGTCTACTGCATGCAGGCATCATTTCCCATTTGCCCAGTTATGGTACCAGGCAACATGACAGTGTGTTTCTTGGCTTAATTGAGCCAGTAGTAGTATTAGATTGAAGGAGAATGAAGGTAATGTGGTAAATACCATGTGAGAGTTAACTACACTTCCATTGTCTTTGATCAGGTGGATATCCGAGTCAGCTCGGTGGCTGATTATCAACAACAAACCCGAGGAGGGCTTACAGGAACTTAAAAAAGCTGCACGGGTGAATGGAATGAAGACTTCTGCAGATGCCCTAACCATAGAGGTGAGCAGGATGGGAGGTGCTTATGTGACAGGGAAGACACACTATTAATAGGTGTCCAAAGATGCAATGTGGTGTAATTGAAAAGATTGGGCACAGAGATTTTATTCAGAGGAGGCAAAGAGTTCCAATTTTTTCTTCCTTTGGGTCCTCAAAATTAATTCACACATCTCCCTCCACAGGATTTTAATCTTTTTATTTGACTAGTTTTTAATTTGACAGATAACACTGTATGTTTTTATCTTCACAATGTGATGTTTTGAAGCCTACAGGGTGGAATGGTTAAGTCTAGCTAATTAACCCAATTAATTAAACTAATTAATAAAAGTCTCAATAAACCAACATGTTAGTTAGCTTTTGGTGTCAGTGACCAAGATACCTGAGAAGAATTATTTTGCCCAGGAAAATTTTACTTTGTGCTCACAGTTTCAGAGGTCCCAGTCCATTGTCAGTTGACTCTATAGATCAGGTCCAGAGGTGAGATGGAGCAATTTTTGCAGAAGGCATTGCAGAGGAAGGCTGTGCACTTCATGGTAATCAGGAAACCAAAATAGAGGAGATGGAAATAGAAACAAACATATAATCCCCAAGGTATTTCCCTAGTGACCCACTTCTCCATCTACACCCCACCTGCCTATGGTAAACCACTTTGCAACCCATGCAAATTTTTGAATCCTTCAAAAGGATTAATTCACTGACTATGTATGATACTCATCATCTAATCATTTCACCTCCCCCAATAACAGTGGAACGTTGGGGGGGGGACCCCTCATATCCAAACCATAACAACCAATAATAAATTTAAATGTTACAAGTCAAAAGTGCATTTAATATATATAATCTACTGTATATATACACACACAGTACCTGGTGGAGTGTAGGTTGTTACCATAAAGGTTATGTTGATGAGAACTATGGCTCCCTGCAGCTGTCTAACATGTTAAAAGAATATCATGCAGTATCCCACAGGAAATGATCAAAATTCAAAGTGTATTTCTGTAGAAAGTATATTGTACTTTCACTCTGGTAAAGTTAAATAATCTTTAGTTGTGATATAATCAATTTTATTTACTCACTCATCTTTATTTATAAATTAACTTTAATTTTGGGAATTGAACCTCGTGGTGTTTTTCCACTGAACTACATTTTCAGTCTTTTTATTTCAAGACAGGGTCCTACTAAGTTATTGAGGCTAGCCTTAAACTTGTGATGCTCCTGCCTCAGCCTCCTGATTTGCTGGGATTACACGTATGCACTATCAAGCCCAACCTATTCACTCATCTGTTGATGAACACTTGAGTTGGTTCCATATCTTGGCTCTTTTATATACACTGAATATAGCAATTCTATTTTTACTTATTGAAGAAACTTCACATTATTTCCCATGATTGTACTAATTTGAATTTCTATAAATAGTGTGCAAAGGTTCTCTGTTGTTCACATTCTCATTAACACTTGTAATTCTTTGTAGTTTTTTTTTTTAATAATAGCCTTTCCAAGTAGGAAGAAGTAAATATATCATTGTAATATTTTTTTCTTTTGCTAGGGATTGATCCCAGGATTGCTCCATCACTGAGCTACATCCCCCAGTATCTCCTCCACTTTCTTATTTTGGGAGAGGGGAATCACTCAATTGCCCAAGCTGGGCTCAAATTTATAATCTCCTACCTCAGTCTCCCAAGTAGCTGGGCTTACAAACACATGCCACCATGTTCAACTTCATTGTAGGACTGATGTGCATTTACTGTGTGCTTAGTGATACTGAGTATTTATTTTTTTACCTATTGCCCATTCACAGGTCTTCCTTTGAGAGGTGTGTGTTCAGATCTTTTGCCCATTTTTTTTAAAATCAATGGTTCCCACTACTGCTTATAAGGATCCCCGTGTGTGTTAGGGAGGTGGATGCTGCAGCCTAGGAATCTGTATTTTGAAGCGTTCCAGGTGATTCTGAAGATTGTCTTCCCATCTTAATTTCAGATTTTTTTTTGTATTTTAATTAATTTTTGGTTATTGAGTCATTTGAGTTTCTCATACATCTTGGAGAACAACGACTTATCAGAGCATAGTTGACAAATATCTTCCTCCCTGTGTATTTTGTTTCTTCCATATGTTCCTTGCTTCCTTTTTGTGCAGAATTTTTTTCTAATCCTACTTGTCAATTTTGACTTGTTTCTTTTTGTGGTCTCATCTAAAAATTCTTTCCCACACCACAGTCATGTAGTTTTATTCCAAGTTTTCTTCTGGTAGTGTAATGGCTTGGGGGACTTCCATTTAAGTCTGAAGTCTATTTTGGATCAATTTCCCTATGTAGTAAAGACATGGGTCTGACTTTTTTTTTCCAGCATATCAAATGGGCTTTATTGTTTTGAGATATGATCCTTGAATACCTAATTTGTTGAGAGGTTTTATGATGAAAGGATGCTGAATTTCATCTGATGCTTTTCCTGTACATCTTTAATACAGATTTTACTGTGATCTGTAAGTTGTTTTTTGTGTTTCTGTTTCTTTTGTCTTGAAATGTAGACATGTGTGAAGGAAGACACAATGACAAAATGGTATGTAAAAAATTCTTAGCATCACTAAGCATAAGGGAAGTAGAAATCAAAACCAAATTGAGATATTACCTGTACCTGTTAGGAGAGCATTTATTAGATTAAGGACAAGTAATAATGAGAATGTGGATAAAAAAAGAACCCTTGTACACACTGCTGATAATAATGTAAATTGATGCCACCATTGTTGATAACAATATGGAAATTCCTCAAAAATTTGAATAGAATTATTTGATCCAGCAATCCCACAACTTGGTATATATCCAAAGGAATTCAAATTTGGATCTCGAGGAGATCTCTGAATTCCCATATTCATTGTGGAAATTCATCAGATAAGTAAGTTCTAGAAATCCACTGTATGGCATTCTGACAATAATAAAGAATACTATATTATGTACTTCAAAATATCCAAGAGGTCAGATCTTGTCCTAACTGTTCTTATCAAAATAAATAACAAAAATGAATACACAGGGGAGGAAGAAATTTTGAAGGGACTCAGTATATTGATAGGTTTTGGTGACAACTTCACAGGTATGCAGTTACTTCCAAAATCATTAAGATGCATTGTTAAATATGGGCAGATTTTTCAATATTGATTATATATTAAAAAGAAATTTGAGAAGCAGAAAATAGTTATCATCATCTTCTATCTATGAACAAGTTCACAAACATTGTCCCAAAGCTCAAATGATTTGTTTTATTACTCAACTGGCACTGGAATGTCAGTTCTTTCAGCTTCCAAATGCATCCTGCCTTGGGTCTGTGTTTTGCCCTCTTTCCCCATAGCATTTTTCCTTTCTCGCACTTCCTTTCTGAACATGTTCCATAACTCCCTGTGACAAATTCTTTGACAGATAGGGGACAGAAGCATTTCCAGCTCCTGTCTTCAGAAAGATCACCCATCCTCACCAGGTCAGTGGGCTTGATACAGCCTTTGAGCAGTCAAGTAATGTGGCAAAGTGAATCCCAAAGAGGGAAACCTAACCTCAATGTAGAGATGGAGGCTTTGAATGCATCTTGAAAATTGTAGTGTCTGAAATGTGTCTTCGAGATTAGGGTAGAACCATCCAGGTTTCAACAGTCAGGGTATATGGTTATTTGCATTTGAGTAGTCCAAATGACTTCAGAAGGGCAAAGTGACTGGTGTCCTGGTAAATGTTTAACTCCAACATTCAAAGATTTGAAAAAATCCTAGAGTCCAGAATTGTAGCAATTATTAATTTCTGTGGATTGCTAAATTCCACCAGAGTCAAATTCCAGCTAACCTTATGATGTCAACAGGCTCTTAATCATTAAAAATTTAACAAAGAGCTCTTATAAATCAGTATGAACTGACTTCAAGGCACCTATGTTGGCACACATGGAAAACTGAGACAATTTCAGGCTTTTCCCCAAATCATGGTGTGATGATGGGCATAGAAAGGAAGTCACAGAGAAAGATACATTCATAAAATGTGAAGAACCAGCATAACCCCCATTTGAATAGGTGCTGCTTCTTCCCCAAATAAGGGTTACCAGGAAGGACAACTTGTAAAGGCCCCAATGTCAGCTAGCATTATCCACCTAAATATCTCTGGAAGCTCCACTCATTTCTGTAAGCTCATCAAAAATTTGTAACTGGTACCAAATTAAGCCAGTATGCCTTGATGTTTGACTTTGATAATGGAAGGGTTTGAAGACCACTCTCAGGCGTTGCAGCCCTCATCTGAGACAGATTTAAGTTCTTCTTGCAGCCAATTCTTATTAATACCACAAGAACAATGGCCAGTGGTCATGGGTTTATGTGTTTGGTGCAGAGGGTATCACCACAGATGCCTCTCTAACACAAGCATAAATCCTGTTTCCACTATTGAAGCTAGGGCTGAAAGCTGTCGGGCCATTCCCAAAGGTGTAGAATTCCCCAATCATGGGAGTAGGTCCAATTCTCTGAATTCTCTTCTTCACAAAAGTTTTCTGAAGACGTTTATAGTATTATCACATTTGTAGAGGAGACATGGCAATGGAATTAATATCTCCAAATAACTAATAAATTAATAATTACAAGAGTTCTGGTAGAAGTAGTTTGTTATGCACATTTATAAATAACTATTACTACTAAATAGCCTGGAAAATGTTTGTGAGAAGGGCGTTTTTCCCCTACTTTTCCTGATCCTGACTCTTTTATTTCTTCTTTTCAATGACAAAGAAATTGAGGTAAAGTGATATCAGTCACCTTGCCCAGGGTACACAACAAGCAACTGGCAAGTCCAATGTAGCACTTCAGTATAAAACTCAGCCTGAGCTTAAATTAATTTAAACCAACATCATCCATGATTCCAACTCAAGTTTAATTCCAGGTCCCTCTTTCATGGGGACACACCATCCAAGTTATTTTATAAAATAGGATGACTAAAAAACTAAGAAATAAAAATAAAGAAATAAATTGCCAGGAAATAATTCATCTTCCTGAGACAGGAGAATTATTTCCCCATCATTAGTAACTAATGGAGAAAAAAACTCTACTACCTACACTTCTATAGCCATCTAGTATGAATGGGGCTTTGGATTGTAGGATTGTAGTCTAACTCATCATGTGGTTTCCTTCCTCATATAAATCTCTAACATACACTCTCTTTTCAATGCTGTATAATCCTCTCCAGTTTCCTGCTAATGTGTCTTCATTGCACAAGTTCCCTGAGGTTCTGTGAACTACTGAGTTCGCCTAGCACACTGCTTTTATACCTTCTATTATTTCAATGTCTATATTTTCCACTAGATAATGAAATTATTGAACTTGCTCTCTGTGTTTGCTTGGTGCTTCCTCAATACCCATCATTTTCTGACAATGGAACAATTTGTTGTCTCTGTTATTAACTGAAGGCTGTGAGATCCACCATGAAGGAGGAGCTGAAGGCAACACAGACAAAACCTACTCTGTGCGACTTGTTCCACACACCCAACCTGTGTAAACGGATCTGTCTCCTGTCTTTGGTGAGGTAGGCTTAACACCATGCTAACAGAAAGAGTGGAGAAAGAATGTATTCCTTCTTTCAACTTGTACAATATGTGGTGAGCACAGCTTTGGAGATAAAAGATGAGGAAGACATAAAGAGCACCAATATGGCTGTGGACAGTCAGAGGGTCATGTAAAGACTGACACAGAACCATTGCACAGTGAGGAGTCCTGTTTATCATATCACACAGCTAGGCTCACACCAGAGACTGATGCTGCAAACTCCAGCTATGAACAGACATTGTCTTTGATTTTCTTCATTGCTTGCTTTCATTGTTTGCTTTAATGGAGGTAAAATTTCAAAGAGTGAATTGCGTAAATATATGTAATTCACTGTATATTTACATATGTAAAGATATTTCCAACACTCAGATCAAGAGCTGAAAAAACTCTAAAATCCTAAAGACCCTTAAGGATTGTATTGTATTTCCACAATATCCCTCACATCTCCCTAAACTAAACATCCCTGATGGCCTCCAGCATCATACATTTGTTTTAGTACAGTTAATAATTAAAATAATCACCCATAGGCACATATTCCAAAGAAGAGATATGCCTGTATGTTTTAACACCAACAAATGACTGAGCCAGTATTACCATTATCTAAAGGATATAAGTGCTAACCCTTGTGGCATGTGTCTTTCCTGTGTGTTTGCTACAGATTTGCAACAATCCTGCCTACTTTTGGCTTGATTCTCCACCTCCAGCACCTAGGGGGCAATGTTTTCCTGGTCCAGGTTCTCCTTGGTGTAGTCAACCTCCCAGCCAATTGGGTTTCACTTTGGGCACTGAAACACAGGGGCCGTCGTATAAGCATATTTTTTTTCATGTCCATGATGGGAATCACTTTTCTGGCCATCACATTTGTGCCTTCAGGTGAGGAAAGAGCACAGGGTGGGGGGAAAAGGAAATATGTTCCTCACTTCCCTCAGGATTTTTCAGGTAGCACCTACAGGAATCAGAAAAACTGGGTTCTATAGTCTCCCTCACACAAGTTGGGCATTTAGGACAGATTCTGCCATTAGGTTGCTAGGAAAACAGCCAAAGGTCAGTAAAGTTTGTTCAGATGCCTGCTTCTCTTCATTATTGTCAGCTAAGTACCTGGAACATGGTGCCACTGAGTTCTGAGTTTCTCTAGGTCAGCAATACAACATTTACCCATTGGCCAATCACATTTTCTTGCAAACATGAAGAGTCTAGACTTCCCATCATGAGCCGCACTGTACTATCACTTCCTCTGCCTGGCTCTGTCTTATTCTTCACCTTCAGTGACAATTTATTCCTGAACTCTGTGTGTCTACACATGAGTCTCATGGTAGGTCACCAGAATGCAACCTTGGATTGGAGAGTTGTCTTGACTTAAGGAAATACAACTCCTTGTGTTCAAGTAGAGAAGAGGTGTACAGCAGCAACAATATATCCATCATCATGCATTGCTGAACTCCTTGTGTTGTAATGTGTTTACAAAAATCCCACAATTGTGGGCTCTCCTCCTCCTCCTCCTCCTCCTCCTCCTCCTCCTCCTCCTCCTTCTCCTCCTCCTTCTTTTCTCTCTCTCTCTCTCTGGTACATACCAGGAGACTGTATTGGCACTTAACAACCGAGCCACATCCCCAGCCTGTTTTTAGACAGGGTCTTGCTATATGGCTTTGGGTCTTGCTAAGTTGCTAAAGCTGGCTTTGAACTCTCAATCCTTCTGTCTTAGCCTCCAGAGAAAATGAGATCACAGGTGTGTGCCATCACACCCATGTATAGGCTCCACTTCTCTTGAATGTGAACAATGATGTCAGTTTGCTGCTCTGCAAGAAAACCTTCTCCAAGATTTCAAGCTCTCATGAGATTTTCTTCTTAGAGTAGGTAACTGAATCTATGAAAGTTTCCTTCAGTGGTATCCAAAGTGTGACATGTTTTCCATAAGAGAAGTCCTTTTTCTTGAGTCTTGATAAATTTTACTAGATCAGGCTATTCTCCAGGTTGTCCATTAATATAGTGTTCTTGTTCTTTTATAACTGTGTTTTATAAAAGAGCAAGACACCCTTCAGTAATCCTGACACCCTTCAGTAATTCCCATATGACTGTCCTATCTGCCACATAAATGGTACAAGAGACACTGGAAAGAAAAAGAATGTGAGTTCCTTCTGCATTCAGCATCCTCTCTCCTTATTTGACAAACTTGGGAAGGCAAGGAGAATAAATTAAATTATTGAAAACTTTTTATTCACCATAATTTAAAATACTCAGGTAAGTCCCTTAGGTTTGTCACAAACTTCACCTCTGTACAGTTTATCTATAGTATATTTTACACTGTGAATATCTCCAATAAGGGTGTATTCCATTTGGATTTGGGGGATACCAATACCTTCGTCTAAGATCCTGACTCTCCTGGATCATCTTCTTTCCAGAAATGCCGACTGTGCGTATGATTCTGACAACTTTGGGAGGAGGAATTTGTTTTGCCTCTATTACCTGTTGTTTTACCCAGGCAAATGAACTGCTCCCCACCATCATCAGGTACAAAATCTCACAGGTTCTCTATCAGGGTAAAAAGGGCCTGTTTCCAAATCATTGACTTTTCAAGCAAAGAAAACACAAATAATCAATGGTGATGATAACAATTACAGCCACAGTTAGCTTTTTGCTAGGTACTTTTAGGTGTGATAATATACCACCAATGTACATCTCATGTATTCTCTGGATTCACCTAAATTTGAGATTCACCTATTTTGCAACTGACAATATCCAAGTTATGGATCCAGCCCAGGTGTCTATCAACAGATGAGTGCATAAGGAAAATATGGTAAATATACACAATGGAGTTTTATGCAGGCATAAAGAGAAGAGAATTATGTAATTTACAGGTAAATGGATGGAATTTGAGAAGACCATGCAGAGTAAAATAAGCCAGACTCAGGAACTCAAGGGTTGAAATGTTTTCTCATATGTGAAAGCTAGAAAGAAAAAAAGGGGGAACCATGAATTTTCAATATAATTGAAGGAAACTTCTAGAATAGGGGATGGGAGAGAGGCAGGATAGAGGAGGAACTGTAAAATGAACTTGAAAAAATTTTGTTCATATACAAATGTATCACAACAAATACTATAATTTGTATAATTGAAAAGTAGCAATAAAATAAAGTAAATGAATAATAAAATAAAATAAATGAGAAATAAAGCAAAATTAAATAAATGAACAATAGTATTTCTAAATGATAAAACATGTCTTAATACTCTGTAAACTTGAGAAAATTTGCTAGCAAACCAACAAAAATTTCAAAAGCAAGTGTTAGACCATGACACAAGAAAAGACCACTGACTCTAATTAAAATCAAATTAAAGCAAGCTTATTATTTTGACCGGCTGGGCTGCCTCTCCCACCAAAAACCGCGGGAACAAGACAGCAGCCACAGCTTTCCTGCAGCCCAGCTTTATAGCCCTGAAAGTTACACAAAGGGGGGTTACAGATAACAAAACTCTAAGGAGCATAACACTAATCGTAGTTTACATTTTTGCTGGCCCCGACATCAGAATTTATGAAGATCATTAGAGTCTCAGAGAGGGTTTTTATCTAGCCAGGGAAGGCCAAGATTTGTGAGGCATCACTAAAGTTTTAGAGAGGGCTGCTATCTGGTCAGAGAGCCAAGCATGGGTGAGTTCAAGGCACAGGCAGGTATTCCAAGTAGGTTCAGAATTTGCAGTAATTTATAGTAAAGCTGAAATTATCTTTCCATGGCTTTGTGGCAAGATGGCTCCCAATTTTAAGAAAAGATCAGGTTGGGTATATCACAAGAGCATATCATCAATCTTCTCATGACAAAGCACATCCCTTATTATCTCCTATAATTAATGCATGAAGGTGACACAAACCCATGTGCATTCTCAACAGATTTATTATGCCTTTTTGTTTGTGCTCCAAGGGCAACAGCTTTTGGAATCATTGGAGTTTGTGGTAGTTTGGGGGCAGCTGTGGCTCCCCTGTTGATGACCCTGGAAACATATGCTGAACCCTTGCCCTGGATCATCTATGGAGCCTCCTGCATCTTTGTTGGCCTTGTTGTCTTCCTCCTTCCAGAAACTAGGAATCATCAACTGCCTGACTCCCTCCAAGACATAGAAAATGGGTAAGTGAACCCTTTCATGGTCCCTTAGAAGAGTTATGTACCATAGATCTGAGATGAGAAGACAGATTCTACTGGGGCCATATGTCTCGGGAAATTGTAGACTTACTCTCTTTCCATGTGGTCAGTATCATTGGTTTAGTAAAAGCAATATCCTTTAACCAGTGATCTCAGATATTCCCCTGAAGATTTCTAGATCATGCCAGCCAGTTCTTCCCAAACTGCCCCAGTAGGTTTAGTAGTAAATACATCACAATTAGATCTACTCAGTCCTTGCTGCTACAGTGTAACTGAAGGTATTTCCCAAACATGCACATATACAAATGACAAATCTCACTCTATGTCCTACTATCCTGTAGCCCAATGACAGCTGGTAGCTGTCTGGCACTGTCATTTCTTATAGGCTTGAGCTCTCCCCTGGACACTGAAGAACCCAGGGGTGATCATTACAAGACTAGGGTCCCTTCCATAGCTGTCAATACATTTTAGGGGAGGAGTCTTGTTGTGTTGCCTGTGAGATTCAGACTATCTTGTTTTCACCAGGAATGAAAGTGTTCAGAAAAGAGAAAAATGCAATGGTAAATAAAGGTATTTTAAAATGGCGAATGATTGGAAAGCTTTAAATTTTTTTGTACTTCCCTGGTTTTTCCAAAGACTTCTGTGGAGAATGACATGGTGCCCAAGGATGGAAGTAGAAACCATCAAACCTGCCTTCCAAATATTATAGGAATATTTGACTTTTACTTCACAATATTTACTGAAATCCATGGGCAGGTGTCATTTTTTTTTTACCAAGGATGGTGGGGAAAAGGATCAGCTTGCTGTAAAGAATGCAGGAGATACTGCTTTCTCCATGTCCTTTCTTGTTTGTATTTCTTTCATCATGTATTTTTTTCATATCTGTTCTAGTGGGAAAGGCTCAAGAAAAACAGAGCAGGAAGATACCTCCATCAAAGTGACACACTTCTAAGGAAATTCACAAATGGGATACTGATCAAGAGCAAGAAAAAGAAGAAATATAAAGAATACTCCAAGACATCAGCAAAAAATTAAAATAAATAGAAGCAACAGAAAATCCCCATTTATAATGGTGAATCTAAATTATTGTATAAAAGATACTTTATGAATCACAAGAAGTTGAAAGAAACTACAGTACTTTGAAATACATGAGAGAATATTTATATAGTATAGATACCTAAAATGTTTCTGAATAGGGAGATGGAATTAGCTTTAAAACATTTTTCTTTCTGAATTTATAGGAAGAGTATTCTTACTTAAGAATATTCTTAAGAGTATAATTACAATGAAGAACCCAACACTCTTGAACAGACTTGAATCTTAGTAGTTCCAAATACATGTAAATACCAGTATGTGAGTCAGCTTTCTGTCACAGCAACAAAATAAATTGAGTTAAATGACTTAATTCAAGGAAAAATTTATATTGGCAATGGTTTCAGGAGTTTCTTTCCATGTTTGCTTTGCCCTGTTGCCTTGGGTCTATGGAAATGGAAAGTATTATATTGGGGAGTCCATGGTGGAACAAACCTGCTCATCTCATTGAAGACAAGAAGAGAAAGGAAGATATGAGGATCTCAATATCTGCTTCAAGGTCACACTCCCACTGATTTAAATCACTTCAACTACAATTTTTGAAATATTTACCACCTTCCAATCACACCACCAGCTGGTGGCCAAGCATATAACACATAATTATTTGGGGCACACTTCAGATCTAAGCTTTAACATTCTGCCCCCATGCCCAAAATTTCATGTCTATCCCATAATGCAAAATGCACTGAGATCAAAGATCCAAAGGCTCCCTTTGTCTTAACAGTTTTAGCATCTCCAGGATCAAAGTCTCTCCTAAAAATCAGGGCACATTCTTAGCTTTGAGTCCCTATTTAAAAAGTTATATACTTCCAACATACAATGTGGGACATAGTCAGGAGACACGTTCCTATTCCAAAGGGGGGAAATAGGTGCACAGAAGGGACCAAAATTCATCAGGGTATAGATTAAATCCTGTGATTCCATGTCCAGTATTTCAGACACAGGGTGTGATTTGAGCTCAAAAGAACTGGAGCAGACCCACCCTTGTGGACTGCTCATAAGGCGACTCTCTTGGGCTGGATCAGGTCACTGATGGCACCTTCCCTTGGCAAGTGTTCTGTACTTCTGGACCCTCCAACTTCTTGGATTCTCCACAGCAGCTTCACCTTCACTCTCACAGTTTGACACATCATTATATTAATGGATGTTTACAGGGCTTCCAACCCCACCACAATCTATGTGTTTTTATTAGTGAGTTTATGCCATTAACATTTATTTATGCCATTAACATTCAGGGTTATTTTTGAGACATGATTTGTATTGCCAGGTATTTTTTGTTTATTTTTGGTATTTAACTTGACTTGGCTTCTCCCTTGATTCACTTTTTCTTTAGTGTAATACATCCCTTTGCTGATTTTCATTTTCTCTTCATAGAATATTTTGCTGGGGATGTTCTGTAGTGCAGGCTTTCTAGTTGTAAATTCTTTTAGCTTTTGTTTATCATGAAAAGTTTTTATTTCCTCCTCAAATCTAAAGCTAAATTTTGCTGGGTATAAGATTCTTGGTTAGCATGCATTTTCTCTCAGAGCTTGGAATATATTGTTCCATGATTTCCTGGATTTGAGAGTCTGCATTGAAAAATCTGCTGAGATGTGAATTGGTCTCCCATATATATGATCTGATTCCTCTCTCTTTTGGCCTTCAAGATTCTATTTTTATTCTGTATGCTAGACATTTTTATTATAATGTGCGTTGGTATAGATCTATTATAATTTTGTCCATTTTATGTCACATAAGCCTCTATTTTTCCAATTCATTCTTTTTGTTGGAAAATTTTCTGATATTATCTCACTGAAGAGAATGTGCATTCCTTTGGTTTGAAACTCTGTGCCTTCCTCTATCCCAATAACTTTTAGATTTGGTCTTTTGATGCTATCCCATAATTCTTGGATGTTCTAATAAAAACTTCTTATCTTCACTGTGTGGTCAACTATTTTTTAGATTGTATGCTTTGTCTTCATTACCTGACATTCTGTCCTCCAAGTGATATAGTTGGTGAGGCATTCTATTGAGTTTTTAAATTTGGTTTATTGTTTCCTTCATTTCAAGGATTTTTTTAAATTTTTTTTTTCAGAATCTCTCTCTCTTTCTTGAAGTAGTTTTTGCTACCTATATTTGCTCCCTTATCTCTTTGTTGGTGTGATCAGTGGATATATGTATTTGGTCCCTTATCTGTTTATTGGTTTCATCAATGGTTACCTGTATTTGCTCTCTTATCTCATTGTTGGAGTGATCAATTTTTGCCTGTATTTGCTTACTTAGGTCATTCATTAATTCACAGATCATTTTAATTATGAACAGTCACCTTCTGTGACATTTCATCAACTGACAATGGGTCTGTTACTATAGTAAACTGCTTTGTTTGGGGCACTTTCCTCCCTAGTTTTTTCATGTTGTCTATGTGTCTTCCTTTTTTGCAATGTGGATCTGAGATAATATAATCTTGTAGTATTTGTGCAGATTATGTGTACCTCACCTTGGTGTTAGTCTTCCAGACCCTTCTGGTGTCCCAGGGTGTATGCTACTGTAACTAAAAGTGATGGCGGCAATAGCAGAGGTCACTTGAGATAGCAGTGGAAGTGCCCCAAGATGGATGCAATATCTTTCTGGATTGGGGCTTAATAGGTGGGCCTTACACTGGCTTTGGGATGCCTGCTTCAAGATATAGCTGCTTCTAGGCTCTGTCTGTTGTCACACGGTAGAGGCTACTGTGTGGGGAAAGCTCTAGGGATGGCTGCAGTGACCTAAGATTGAAGTGGGTTAGGCCTGGGCTCCCAGGGGTCAGGGGGCATACCTGGGCCTACCCTGGGCCTGGGATCCCATAGGTCAGGAAGGGCAGTCCTGGACCAAGGCCTGAGATCTGGAGGGTGTCTCTGGTTGCTGTTTTTGTCAACTTTTTTTTCCACTGACAGGAACAACATTAGAGGAGAAAAAGGTTATTTGGGACTTAAGGTTTTGGATGTTGCAGTCTATAGATGGCCAACTTCTTAACTTTGAGCCTAGGCAGAACATTATGGTGGAAGGGCACAGCAGAGAAATAAAGCAGTTTAGAACATGGCACCAGGAAGCCAAAAGGAAAGAATAAGAAGGAGAGAGAGGAGCAGGAGGAGGAGGAGGAGGAGGAGGAGGAGGAGATGAAAAATAGTGAGGAGAGAGAGAGAGAGAGAGAGAGAGAGAGAGAGAGAGAGAGATCTGTTAAATAAGGACAAAATATAAGCCCCCAAAGCACAACTCTAATGACTCATCTCCTCCAGCCATAACCTACCTGCCTACAGTTACCATCCACTTCATTGATTTAAGTATGTTAATGCACAGATTAGGTTAAGGCTCTAATAACACTATAATTTCACCTCTGAACTCTCTTGCATTGTTTCACATATGAGCTTTTGGTGGACACTTAATTTCTAAATCACATTTGCCATCATGTTCCCTATACCTGTTGGTCAGTATATAATCTCTCAAACTCTGAATAGACCACTGGATTTTAGAATTCTCTAGTTGTAAATGACCTTTAATTGGTTAATTTCTGAACATAGACATCATGCTAAAGATTTTACTTAAGTGATATCAGCAAGAAGGTTGGGCAGAAGTGCCTGGCATACTTTTATCTTTGAAAAAGGAAGAAACAAGAAAACATAACTGGATTGTTTGAGGTATAGTACCATAACACAGTAGGATGTGACAGAGACACAGTGGATATTAGAGATCCAGCATGGTCTTATAAAGAAGGAAATAAAACACAGAATATATCTTTTCTGACTCCAAGAGTGAAGAAGCACAAGCAGAAATGGCAAGCAGGAGATCCCCTAACAGTCCCAACTAACACTCATGAAAACCTGAAGTATTTGCTTCTAGAGAGGGCTGCAGCCCTCATAGGACCTCAGTTTAGCTGTATTATTTCAGACAGCTTTCTCTGCCAATGCTGTGCCCTTCTACAGCCAAGCTTCTGCTGCATAGTAACATCTCAAGACTCCACAAACCTGTGATCCCATAAATCAAGTACTTGCTTTTACTCACCCATCTTCAGCCTATGAAGTACCTAGGCAGCTGCACCCACCCTTCAGAGGACCCATGGAGCAGACAAGTGAATCAGCATACCCTCGTGTAATCTTGACCAACTTCTGTGGTATAGGAGAGTATGTGTGTTCTTATCTAACTATCCTCATTCAGGTAAACAGGCAGGTAACCCTAAACAGCTCATCCCACCAACATCCTGAGAGGCAGACAGGTAGACCTGCCCACCTGCCTTCAGCCATGGGAAGCACACATTACCTGCCCCAATCCACCAGAGCATCCCTGCATCCACACAACCTATGGAAATTGAGAGCTGCCTCACATCTGAAGCTGCATGAACCACACACACAGCCACTGACAAGTCTCAGCTACACCCCACTAAGAGAGATACATCCTACCTTATGAATAAGCCCCAAATTCTTGTATTCTGGGCCACTGAGACAATAACAGACCTCACAGACATGGATGGCTGGTGAAGAATGTACATGTAGACTCTACCACTGTGGCCACCTGGTATATCTAATGCAATCCAATGAAATCAACCCAACCAACACCATAAAATTATTGCCAAAATAAAAATTTTAATGCACTGTTGAGAGCCACAGCTGAAGGGGCCCCAGCAAACTTCCAGCTGATTGGCTCACAGAGGCCCCAGCAAACTTCCAGCTACCAGCTGATTGGCTTCTCTGTGGTGATGCTCATTGGGCTGTTTCCCCACCCTTTCAGACCACAGAGCTGCTCACTGGGGACTCTATTGGCTCTGCCCACGCAACTCAGCCAATTGGCCTCAAGAGCAGGAGGAGGGGGGGTTGAGAGGCTCACTGGAAGCCAGTGGTGGCAGTTGGG